AATCAGAAAAAAAAATCAGACATCAATTTCATTGCAAATTTTATTACAAATTGCATATATTTGTTACACCAATAAAAAGTAGGCAGGTATCACCTATATACAGGCACTGGATTGTATGTACAGTATATACACTTAACATCCTTACGAGTGAGCAGAATACATATTTTGAAGCGTTTCAACTTGTCATTTGTTATTGTATTTTTACCAACATAATAAATACAGCTCTATATTTACAAATCTCATAAAAAAATTATGCATTTTATTTAAATGTTATAAACATCTAATCACAATATTTCAAACATGCTTATAAAAATAAAACCTTGTGTCTATTTATATGATAGCTTGCAAATAGTTATTTTATACAATGTACTACAGGTACAGGATTGTCCCAATTTCAAAGAATTGAATATCTGCTTCGAATTTAGGACAGAATTATAGAAAAGTATAGAAAAGTAAAAGATTTGTGGTCACTATCTTTTCCATGTGCTTTAAACATGCATTTTGTTCTGTGATTGTATTTTAGCATTGAGTGAATATTGTCAATGCCCGGACATGTAGGGGTTACAATTACATTACAACAAGACATGCTGCACATAGAAGGAACCATTTTATAGTTCCATTTAGCTATGGTGAAATTAAAATTTCAGCTATGTACAGAACAGTCAAGTTGTAAAGAAAGAATTGATGATAACAGTACCATTTTTTTTATGCCTTGGTAGATAAGTTTTTACATTCATAATTTTATTATTTTGATTTGCAAGTTTTATGTTTGAAAACTTCTGAAGAAAAAAAAACTATTGTTGTTGTCCAATGCAACCAGATGACCTTTTTATCTCCAAAGACTGCACTGGAAACATGAATGTAAATCAGTGCAAGATGTGATCCAGGGCCCCTGAACTTCAGTTCTGTACACACCGCTCCAAACCTAAAGTCCCAAGCCAATATAGATTTCCTTACATCTAACAACCCCCCTCCCCCCATTGCTGACTGTACCTAAAATGTGATTGAGGAACAGACTTGCTCAAAGTGTTGTATATGCAGAGGGCATTTGGATACAGCAGGCCCTATAGGTCTCCCAGGAGCGGGGATAAGGTTACCACCATACTCTATACAACCCCTGGTCATATTCCTCTATATGGAACACTCTGGTTGATTTCCATAGACAAAAACAAGTTCTTCCCACAGATACTTTTAATCATTAGACCAACAGTATTTAATAGCCAGCTTTATCAAAATATTTATTTAACTTAACTGAACTGTATAGTATATTTTAAAAGGACTAATACAGCCAGAACATGTATTAAATGCAAAATACCAAAGGTTTGTAACAGTTTTCTTAACAGTCTTAAGACATTTAAGGAGCTTTTTGTGAGTGCACTTGGGTAATGGATTTCCATTTACTTTCTTTAGACCAGTTTGATACTGAAATGATGTACACGTAGAGCTTATTGCCATAGAAACAGGAACAATTTTATTTCTATGTTTAGTAGATTGTGAAATAATTCTGTGGAAAATAAATATATTGCTTCGTGTTTTGCTGTATATTGCTACATTTTCATAATTTTCTTTGTCGATGTGCTTCCCTTTAAAAAGCCAGAAAAAAACAATAGCTTGATAAATGAGTGATGAGTCAATTTAAATTTATGAACGTACAGGGTATTGGGTAATGACAAAGCAAGCTACATTCAGTGTAGTATTTAATTCTAAGTGATGCTTTTATATGTACTTATATATGCCAGTGCTAATGAGGAATGTCAGATGAGCTTAACCCATCATATATATTTTTACCCATAGAGCCTCAATCTAATCACAGTAAAGTAGTAAATATGTAAGTAATCACCAGATACATCAGGAACAGGTAAGTCCCATAGACAACTGACCTCTGCAGTCATGGATATGTATATTAGTGTACACATAGTGTATTTGTGGTTTATTCACAATTGTATGACCAAATCTGCTTCAGATTCCCCTGTACGACTGCTTAGAGTAGAATTAGTTTTTATAAAACACTATATGGTCAGATTTTAGGCAAAGTAATAAATTGGTCTAATACATTGAAAGCTCAAAGCTCATATGCAGGCGCCAAACTGAAAAGCTCCTTAAAATGACAGAAATCATTCACAGGAAATGCTGCAAAGTTTTCACATTTGTGAAAATAATTTTCCTAATGGCTAAAATTGTCATTCTCAGCCTCATATCTCAGCTAATATCTCAGCTAATAAAACACGATTTCCCAATGCAGTCTGTAAAATTACATTGGTCTTTGCCAGCACTGACTTAGTAAATACTATTCTCTGTTATGCTTTAGCTGCTGTTGGAAAGGTTGCGTTACATCTTAATAGCCATAACCCAGTATCTCAATATAACTTGTTTTTCTATCTGTGGCTTTCGCTAAAAGTGTCTTGGCCAGTCTTGACAAAGTCTAGGGCTTCATGTGTTAACCATTAATTGACGGATGGCTCTCCGCTACAATACAAATTATATAGCTCTGATCTTCAGTACAAATTCCTGAATTAAGAAAGGACTGCTGAAACCGGTTTCTAAATATTTTACAGATTCTATGAAACTTGAAATTAGATTTGTGTGCTTCCGGAAGATCAGGCTCTTGTGGGATAAATGATATCCTTGAATACCAATTGATGTTTCCATATACATGGACAGTAGCAGTTGCGAAAAAGGTCAAAAGCAATGCTGCAGCCTCAATTATATATATAAAGAGTCACTTTAAATGTTTAACTGAAACGGAACCTATACTGAACATTACGGCACACACGAAGCCAGTTGAAATCAATCTAAATAAACACAGTAATACATTTGTGCAATGGTCTGCTGAGCCTTTACTTAATCCAAAATTGTTTATTGAATCCTGCTTGGAAGGCATGCTACTCTACTTGAGGGAGCTGCCATAGATACAGGATTAAGCTAACCACTGAGCTGGCTTTATTATACAGTATTATACCCTTTTATCTCTGTGTTCATACTGTGAGGTCATCCAGGTGAGCCAAAACAAATGAAAAGGATTCAGCTCCCTCTCACACAATTAGAATATGCGCATTCAAGTCTAAAGGGGATATACTAAAGCAATAAATGACTTTATGAAATTATTTTTGTAATCTCTAGTTCAAAATTCCTGACCTCCCACAAATCAGCACAGCAGTGATAATAAAACTGTGAGGATATTTTCACAGCCAGTTTACAAACTGAATTAGCTTCACTATTTCTTGCTTTGCCTTGAGTTTAAGGAGTAGCAATCTACAGACCAGAAAAGTGGCTTTTGGAGAACAAGAACACAACTGTTACATTTTGTAGCAAGCCTGGTAAAAAAAAAAAGTCAAACTAGAATGAAACCATCTGATTCATGCAGATGAAGAGGGTTGTTACAGAGCTGTACTAATACTAAAGAAAAACTACAGACTTCCAGTATACTTAGTTTATAATTGCATCAGCATGGTAAGTGTGAACTCTAAAACTAAAACTAATAAATGGAATCAGGGAACAGATAAAGCTGTAATAAATAAATCAAGGTATGCAATGGGGAAAATTAGCTAACTAAATGTTTAGATCAGGCCCAAGTGTGGAGTATATCTCAGTAAAGGTGCCATATGCCTTCGTTAGCAGGAATTTTAACCAACAGGAAGTTAACTAGGGATGCACCAATACCGATACTAGTATTGGTATTGATACCGAGTATTTGGGCGAGTACTCGTACTCACCCAAATGCTCCGATATTATCCCGATACTGGAAATTAGGTCACCGGGAGATTTCCTCTGACTGGCAGTGCCGAGAGGGTACATGGTGCCGGCTTCCCGGCCAAACAGCATGGAGCCGGCTTCCCGGCGACCCTCCACCCATATTCCTGATTGGTTGAGAATCTGCCTTCATGCTCCTGGAAGTACTGGTATCGGTATTGGCGAGTCCCACAAGATAAATATCATTACTCGTACTCGATACCGAAAAACCGGTATTGGAGCATCCGTAAAATTACCTAAGGCTTTTGCAACATTACTTTTTTGTCCTTTCTGCCGATGTAGAAGTTCAAAGCTGAACTCCAGGCAGGTATAAAACACAAATGAATGCAGCTATGTATTGAAACATCATTAAATTAATTTTTTTAAATGCAAGTACCTGAATCTGATTTGGTATCAGTCTCTTGCAATCATCTTAAATGCAGAGCTTACAATGGGAGAGGGAGAAGTAGCAAAAGGAGACAGAAATACAAATCCTTTTGCAGGTCAAACAGCTCCCTTAGAAGTATTTCATCTGTGTATTTATCTGGTTGCCTGGAGAATAGCTTTAATAACTGTCTACTGTCTACATGAACAAGACTACATTTACAAGTAATATACGGTGTACATAGCTGCAACTGGATACAAATATAACAGAAGTTCAGACAATATCACATACCGCCCCTAGTCTCTATAGAGTCACTGAGTAACATTCATGATAAACCAATATCATATTTTGGCTATAAGAGCACATGAAATCTCATAATAAGAAATGTTCTGTGTATAAAAGGGTCATACATTTCTGTTCTGGAGCATATATGGTTATTATTGTAAATTGACTCATATCAAAGGTTTTTTATTTTTGAAATATTAATTTAAAGTGTTTGGAGGACACGCTAGGACCAGTACGAAATCCCTTGGAAGCTAACGGTGTATTTCCTAGGCATTCAGTCAGAGCTCTTTTGGATCAATTAAAGGAGATAATTTTTGATGGGAATAGAAGAAAACGCTTTGAAATAGTATAACCAATTCCAGAGCTTCATCCTTTAAAGAATGTCCAGCTTAAACAGCAATGTTTGTTATGGCTCAAGGGAAGTGATTCACAATTGGACGGGGTCTGAGAATCGGAACAGTGGACTGTCTGTGCTATGATATAATGGAGCATAATGTTTGTTTGGTTGATATGGCTTACTGCGCTTTATGGTTTGCCTTATTAAATAAAGGCATTTGACATTCTCCCAATGACAGTAAAGAAGAGGAGATTTATGGTCATTGTAAATAAAGAAACATACCAAATACAAGTATTGGCAAGACAGACTGCCTCATCAGTGACAAGGCACATTTGCTGCAGATGATAGTGTACAGTTTTCAGTTACTCGATATGATGAGGAGGAGCTGACTGGTAACTCATATGATATACTAGAACTTGCAAAGGTTACCAGGGCTTGAGTGGAATCACAAGACTGTTTTTCGGCATCTTCAGAATTGATGGAAGCCAGACTTGTTTGTCGAGATCTGCTCCAAAGCATGTCTGTACTCTTTAGACTGCCAATGTCTTCCTTGAAGTGAGGATTGAAGAGAATGTAGAGGAGAGGGTTTAAGCATGCAGGTAAAGGAATAATTAGCAAGAGAATTGACTTTATCACTTCTGGACTAATGAATGTGAGATTTAAAAGTGAGGAGAACGACAAGAAAGCCACTGGGCAGTAGAGGATGCAGTTAGTGAAGAGCAGCAGAGCTATATGCTTCACCATTGAGCAATCCCACACATTTTCTAGTTCACCTTTCTCTAGAGTGCAGTAGAGCTTTGTATAGGCAACAGTCATTACAAGGAAGCAGAGTGAGTTCAGGAGGACTAAAGCAACCATGAAACCCATAGAGGAGGGATCACCAAACAGTAAAGGGAAACACAATGGGGATGTCCCATAAGCGCTGCCACTTAGCAGAGGTGACACTGCAATGACCAGTGAAAGAATAAAGCACAAGACAATAGACAGTTTCACACTTATAAATGCGGATTTTGATTCAAACATAGTTGAACATTTCACTGACAATCCTCTCTCAAGTGCAGCCACTGTTAGAAGAAAGATGGAGGATTCAGCTGCAAAAACAGACAGAAAGCCAGTTATATGACAGCCTACCCCACTTTCCCACCAAGCCCCATACTGAGCAAAGTTTCCAAAGGTCAAAGCATCAACTGTGGCCAGGACACCACTGGACAGGCCCATTAGAGTGTTCATAATGGCGATAAGACCAATCAGAAGTTTTATGGACGGAATGTATGAGAGATGTCTGAAGACAGTTGCAATAACTAAACCATTGCAGATAAAAGCTAGGAAAACTATAAGCCACACGCCAATTCTGATGAGCCAGCTTCCAAACAAGTGATCACAAGGTTTGAAGGGTCCTGTAGTAAAGAGGAGGGCAGTAGGTTAGTAATATGTAAACTCTAACATTGCAAAAGCAAATACATATGACTATGTATTAGGTAAAACTACAAAACTACTGTCTGTAAAATATAAAGTAAATAATTCTTTATTAGTCTTCTTCTTACAGAAAACTTTCAAATGTTATACATTTTTCATTTACAAATTGTAATACCTTTTCTTTAACGACAATAGACATCAGATTCAGAGATATGCACCTTATTTGTGTTACTGTGGTTAAAAATTCACCATTTACCTGGAGATGGTGTACACTGTACAGTGTGAAGAACTTTCAGATCTTCTTCAAAGTCCAGAAGGAAATCTTCAAAGTCACGGTCATCTGTAGTGTAAATGTTTTTTATTATTATTAAGTAGTTATAAAAACCTTAATGACATTAAAAATACAATCAATCATGTGGCCCACCAAAACAACTGCTTATTTAATTTATCAAGCATTAAAGCTGAACTCTGGGAACTGTAACACTACCCTTGCAGTAGTAAGGCACCCCCGGCCTCTTCCCAAATGCACTGCAGAGCTTCAGCGCTTGTTTTTGTTAACGGTGCCATTAAAAAGCAGTTTTAATTACCTTATCCTTCGCTCACACAGGCTCCTCCACCTCATGGCCGAAAGCCACTTCTCTTCAGTGCGCCCTTTGGTGCCCCTCTCCCCCACGTTATCACCTACATTGCAGGACCAGCAGCCTTGCATTGTAAATGAGGGCCTGCTCACAAGCTGAAGTTCAGCTTTAAAAGTGTCACACACTCAAAGCTCCAGCCTTCAGCCTTCATTCTTAAAACTAACAGTTAAGGATGCACTGATACAATTTTTTCGGTATTGAGTACCGATGTATTTTTTTTGGTACTCGCTGATACCAAATACCGATACCGGAAGTCCCATTAAGGAAGCCACGCAGCGTGTAATGATTATCCGCCAGGATCATCAGGTGACGAGGAAGCATGGAGCCAGGCGGTGAATTATTACACGCTGTCAGGCTTCCTGATTGGCCAGGAAGCCGGCTCAATGCTCCCTTGTCACCAAGTGACGAGGGAGCATGGGGCCAGCTTCTCAGCCCATCAGGAAGCTGAGGGGGGCGGGGGGGGGGGGG